GCCGCCTCCTGTCTTTAATTATTAATTTCGGAGAATGTGTTATTGTATTCGTTCAGAGGACTCGGCTTTTTCCTCACCTCTGTGGAAATTGAATCCCGTCACCGTTGGCAGTGAGGCAGACGGCTCAGCTCCTAATGGATCGAGTGCATATTGAACACTTCAGGCCCTCCTTGAGGTCGGTGCAGCTTAGCGGAGGAATCAGACGAGAGAATTGAAAGTGGAGAGGAGGAAAATATACATGTACACCCTATACGGTCAAAGGTTTGTGGACACCTGACCATCACACTGATATGTTCTTTTTGAGCATCCCATTCCAGATGTATTCCCCACTTTGCTGTTATAATAAGCTCCACTCCTCTGGGAAGGCTTTCCACTAGATTTTGGAGGATGGTTGTGGGGATTTGTGGTCATTCAGCAACAAGAGCATTAGTGAGGTCAGGCACTGATGTGGGTGAGGAGGACTGGGGTGCAGTCGGTGTTCCAGTTCATCCCAGAGGTGTTCAGTGGGGTAGTGGTAGCTCAGTGGTTAACCTGTTGGACTTCTGCTCAAAGGGTCATAAGTTCAAATCCCACCACCACCAAGCTGCCACTGCTGGGCCCTTGAGCAAGGCCCTTAACCCTCCACTGCTCGCTTGTATAAATGAGATAAATGTACGTGTGTGTATACATAATATATATTCTTTAATGGGTTCCAAAAATGGTGGAACAGTAGCATTCGATTTATCAAGTTCATACTTGAAACATCATGGAAACGCAGAAGTTAGCATCAAAATCCGCTGCTGAAAATGATATCGTAGCAAGTGAAATATGTAAATTCATCTATTTCTTGTTATGATATGATAAAGAAAAAAAAAAAGAAACATTATACCACAGCAACAATGAATTCTCGATTCTGATTGGTCAGCTGTAAGGTAGAGTCTTCAGGGGGAAAAAAAAAACTGTAATCAATGCTAAATTTCTGTGGTATACTGTACATTTGGACATGCTGTTATTCTAAAACTCTGAAGCAGTAAGAGTGCCTCCGCTCCATCACGCTGCACAGTCACTCATCATTTTCCTTACACGGCATGAGACAGACTGTTTTATTCCTTATAAAAAAAACTCCTGAAAGAAGTGACGGAGACAGGAAGTCATCAGATTGTTTCCTATGGTGGCAGAGTTTGGTTGTTCTTCAGTTAGAAGAGAGAGAGAGAGAGAAAAAAAATCGTCTCAGTCTCGACACTGCATGTGTAATAAGGAAGCCGAGAAGTTGTGAGAGGAAAGAATCAATGGCTAAGGCACGACAGCATCTCCAACCTGCTTTCCCAACACCAGCATGTTTCATTCCTTACATATAAGATTGAGTCCGTTTCTACAAAATCTTGAAATTGGCAGATAATCTAGATTCTTTCTGGCTGCATACCTCTTTAATTACAAGAAGCGTTTCCCATGTAAAAGCAGTAGAGACGTCACTTTTGGATTTTAGTCCTCAACTCTGAATACAGCACTAAGAGTGTACACTGCCCTCCAAAAGTTTGGAAACGCCTGAACAAAATAGGGTTTTTGGGCAATATCAGCATAAATCCTCTAGTTAGTGACCATTTTGCATTGATAATAAGGGACAACACTAGGCATCCGAGCAGTCAGTTTATTCAAACACTGACTTGATATATTACTCCAAGCCTCCTGGAGGATTGCCCAAAGATGATTCACACTGGTTGGACACTTCTTACGGACATCACGGTCCAGTTCCTCCCATAGCAGCTCAATGGGGTTAAGGTCAGGTG